GGGTCCATCCTCGCTAGGCTAGGGGAGGCTCAGACGCTGCGATTTGTATGAAATCCTCGGACGGGTCCATCCTCGCTAGGCTAGGGGAGGCTCAGACGCTGCGATTTGTATGAAATCCTCGGACGGGTCCATCCTCGCTAGGCTAGGGGAGGCGCAGAGGCTGCGATTTGTATGAAGTTCTTGGAAGCATTAATAAACCCTGCTTTCAGGCCAGGTCGCACATTTCCCGCTGATAGCCAGTTTATTTAATGCATCTACTTAACCTCTGACCCTGGCATCTGATTAACTCGAGGCTGCTGAGGCTTGCTGTTTCTCTCAGGAAGCTCCCACAGTCATAAAGCATTTCCAGTCTAAGCATTAGATGAGGATGAGCTACTCACTGCCCCCACCCTTTTTTTCTTTTTTGCAGTTAACTGACAATGTGCCAAACCTAAAATGGGGGGGGGGGGGCTGTCTCAGCTGCTTATGCCTCTGTGCCTGGGTTCAGATGGTCACTGGTTCCAATCCTCCACAGGAGAGTTTTCCAGTGTGCCCTTATGCTCCGAGCACAAGCTTTATTCTCATATGTATGCTTTTGTATCTTAAACAAGAGCAAAATGAGAAAAAACTAAAAAAACTAAATCATTCTGGTGTATAAATGGCAAATAAAGCTTCATTTCAGAATTTCCTAAATATATTTCCATACATGATAACTCTGAATTTTAACCGGTGGTCACATTAGCATTGAAAGCCCACTCAAAGCTTCTCAGTTAACTAGGTCTTAGATCTACCTCTGCTGGAAAATGTCCAATATGCCCCCTAGTTCATGTGCAATCATGTCTTCTACTTGTTCTCAGATAGTCCCCCCCCCCCCCCCCCCCCCACTACCAGGGGTCACAGGCCTTTCTGTCATATCCCCTTCCATCGGGGTCTTTCCCTCCAGCTTTTAATTACATCCTCGACTGGAGTAGTACTAAATGTTTTTGTTCTTCCATCCATCCAACCATCCATCCAGCCCTTATCACCCCAAAATGCTCCAGGGGTGCCATAAAAAAGCACTCGGACCCCAAGCCTCACTCTCACTTGTTAATGTGTGTGTACGTCACAATGGAGAGCAAGATTGGACACGTCGGCAGAGTTTTATCTGTATTCAGCACCTTTAAAATCAATGCACAGATGACTGCTTAAGGTATTACCATAAATATTACATCTGTTTGTTTATCTGATGCCTTCATCCAGAATGATGCATCATTGAGAAAATATGGTCAGCTAGTCCCTGGAATGATTGGGGGGTGAGGGCCTTGCTCAAGGGCCCAACATTGAAATCACTCTGCCAGTCGAGGGATTTTAATTAGCGACCATCTGATCACAGGCACACAGTCCTCACCTGGAATTTTTTCTATATCTCAAAGTATAGCAAGATGGGATATGCAAGAACTAAAGTATTGTGAAGTACATACTGCCTGATGGTGGGAGATGGTTATTTCTGCAGGTGGTTTTTGGCTGCATGCTCTTGTTACACAGAGAGTGCTCTACTCAACAGGACTGCACAGACCCCGGTGCCTGAACTGAAGGCCACGCATGGGGCAGAAGTGTAACCAAATGCATATGTCTGTTGCTCTCTATAGAAGTGGAGCAGATCGAAGCCATCGCCAAGTTTGACTATACCGGCCGCTCCCCACGGGAGCTCTCCTTCAAGAAGGGCGCGTCCCTGCTGCTGTACCACCGTGCCTCTGAGGACTGGTGGGAGGGCCGGCACAACGGTGTCGATGGGCTCATTCCACATCAGTACATCGTGGTGCAGGACATGTGAGGCCACCGACTGCATCACTGCACCCAGCAGTTTTACAGTCCATGCACAAATTAATACCTGCAAGCATTACCACAGTCACTGCATTTATTTATATAGCAGATGCTTTTATTCAAAGTGATGTACCTTTGAGTAAGGCAGAGTCAGCCGGTCCCTGGAGTGTTTGGGGTTAAGGGTCTTTCACAAGGGCCCATGGTGACATCACTGTGCTGACCATGGGCTTTGAAGTGACAGCCTTCGGATCACAGGCAGAGAGCCCAAACCCACAGAGCCACGCACCGCCTCACTCAGAAGGAACGTGCTTTTAAATAACTTTTACATGTTTGACAGTTCCATCCTGTTACACATCATATGTATTTCACTTATGATATTGAAATCAGAAAGTACAGCTGATTTTAAATAATATTAAAATGTCAGACATTTCCATCCTGTTACGCATCAAAAGTATTTGTTATGATTTTGAAATCAGAAAGTACAGCTGATTTTAAATAATATTAAAATGTTAGACAATTCCATCCTGTTACACATCAAAAGTATTTGTTATGATTTTGAAATCAGAAAATACACCTGATTTTAAATAACTTTAAAATGTTAGACAATTCCATCCTGTTACACATCATACAGTATGTATTTCACTTATAATTTTGAAATCAGAAAGCACGCCTGATTTGATACTTTCTCATTACTTTAGGTGGCATATATTGATTATAATGATAAATGACTATGGTGTTTCCAGTTAATTTTTTATGACACTACAAAAGACAGAAAAATATTATGCTTGGTCTATACTGCTCTTGGCTTGGGAGGATTTTAAATAACATCTGCACCAATAAAGTAAATATTGAGAGCATTTCTGTAGCCAAATTCAACTTTTACAACGTAACAGTAAACTGGTTTACTGTTTGATGGAAGGATGGTCCTCAGTGATACCTGTTGTTGGACATGTTACTCTCTCTGTTGTGTCACCTCTCTGTTACTCACCTTGTTCCTGAGTATTTGCAGTGATGCTTGAAACACTCAGTGTTTGTTCTGTACTTTTCTTTATTCCATTCTGCACTTATTGCATAATGGCACCAGCTCAGATACCATTACGCTTGAGGAGTAACAGAGTAGAAGTGCATGGGGAGCAGCGGTAGTGGTATCATGTTTCAGGATGCCTGTATTTTATTATTTTTTATGGGGCAAGAAATGAGATCACCATAGCAGCAGACCGCAGTGGGTGTCCCCGACTGCACTGGCCCCTGTCCCTGAAGCGCTCTCTCTGTTCACGGCTCTTCAGGGACGACGCCTTTTCCGACAGCCTGAGCCAGAAGGCTGATAGCGAGGCCAGCAGCGGGCCGCTCCTGGACGACAAGGCCTCCTCCAAAAACGACATGCCGTCCCCCTGCGAGGCCTCGCCTGACTACGGCTTTGGGGGGGTCATGGGAAGGTAAGTGCGGCCACGCCGAGACTCTCAAGCAGCTTAAACCCAGATCTTCACCTCCTGATTTTCAGCTCCATAAAAATATTCACACCATGCAGAAGATGGGGAGTATTTATTTTATGATTAAGAGCAGTGAAGATGGGTCTGATATAATATCTGGAAGATTCTGTGTGTGTCGCACATACACACGCACACATTTACACGTCTACACGTTTACACAAGCTGCTTAAGGCTTACTGTGATCCCTGTGAAATACCAGGCTAGCTCTCTAATGCCTCTCTAAGCCACTCTGGGCTGTAATTAACCTTTGGGTGAGATTCAGTTTGGAAATTGTTTCCAAAGGGGAACTTCTCGCTTGAATTTCTTCCTGTATTAGCAGAAAACTTCCCCTTCTCACACCTGTTTTGCGACTTGAGATGGTAAATAAATTGTAATATGCTGTGGTTTCCGGGGTGTTGTGGTTGCTAATCGCCAAAGTAATAAAATACATTTTTAAATGCTTTTCGCAATAACACTTAACCAGTTAATGACACTGTGTTCTGAGCCAGAAGCCTCACATGGATAGCATGATCAGCTTACAAGAACAGCGTGTCTTTGGATGAAACCCAGAGTACATGGAGAAGTCCACTAGACACTTTGTACATTTATATCACGCAGGACGCAGGGCAGTGAAATCTCATTTAGCAGGTCTCCAGCCAGCAATACAGCATATGCAATATTCATATGTGGCAAATATTGGAGAAAAAAAAATTATAAAAATAAATAAACAGCATGCTGTCCCTTCCCAAATGGACTCTGTGTTTCACCTGCTAAGCACAGTACCTGTCTACCTGCCTCCAGAGTGCGCTTACGTTCCGACGGAGCTGCCATTCCCCGTCGCCGCAGTGGCGCCGACGGCCACAGCCCTCCTCGGGGTGTGGACACCCCCCCGCGGGCTGCCGCCTGCCCCAGCAGCCCCCACAAGATAGCCATCAACAGGGGGCGTATAGAGAGCCCCGAGAAGCGACGGCTGGGCACGTTCGGCAGCGTGGGCAGCATCAACTACCCCGACAGGAAGGTCTACCCAGAGGGCCACCCGCTGAGGCCGGTGCCAGGGGCCACGCGCCACAGCAGCCTGGGGGATCACAAATCCTTGGAGGCGGAGGCCCTCGCCGAGGTACCAATCGGCTTCTTCAGTTATCCAGTGCCTTTGCAGTCTGTTTCTTCAGCAGTGGAAGAACTTACTGCCAGGTAGCCAAGACTACCCTCTATGGCTTCACATTTGGTAATGGTATAACTGATGACAGAGGAGATTCTGGGATTTTTTTAAGGTGGGGGGCGTAAGAGGGATCATACAGTTTCATTCAGAGAGCCCACCTTATCATTAGCCAATGATATGTTTTGAATCAGTGAGTGCGAGGGGATGGGACTCTCCTGTGGCCTTCCGGCGCTCTGCCTGGGCCTGTATATGCCCATAGCTGGTGTTTTAGTCATGAGATACTAGCTTGAAGTTCCAGGTTACGTGATGAACACCAGTTCCAGAAGCCACCCAGTCATTATAAGTGTCCAAGCCAACACATCCCGGATTCCAGCATTAAATCAAAGACAATCCTAATACTCTGCCCCACTTTGCATGTTCCTCTCCCCTTAATCCTTAGAACCCAACAAACGCAAAATGCGTTGATTTTCACACCCACTAATCTCAGGCTCGTAATTAGTCTCAGCCTCGATATGTGTAACGAACAGACAAGAATCGCATATCTTTGGAATAGAGAGAACTTGATCAAGTTGCACAAATTCTGCACTAAACTATTCCAGAGTAATCCTGTGCACAATGAGGCACATATTTTAAACATTTTCCACCAAAAAGCACCCCAGATAACAAAGCGCGTTTTAATTTCCGCAATGATCCACGCACTACCAACTATCAGCAGAACAGTAAATATAAACCAAACGAATGTATGTTACTCCTAAAATATTTGTTTTGAACTTATATTAGGATTTGGTATGCTCTGCTTTTGTGTGTTTGTTTCAATATTTCTTCACTTCAGTGGATCATAAACTAAACAATGGTTTTCTATTTCAATTTGTTTCAGATGTCATAAAGTAATAAATAAAAATAATAAAAAAAAAAATATATATATATATATATATATATATATATATATATATATATATATATATATATATATATATATATATAAAAGCATGCATTTGCTGTGTCCTGGGTATGACTTTAAAATGCATCTGGCCCTGCAAGCGGTTCTCGAACTTTCAGGGAAACAGTTTCTTTGGGGGTTGATGGCGGGTTTGGCACTTGAGCCACCGTAAAACAAATCAAAACTGCTCGATTAAACAGGCACTACACCCTTCTGCTCTCCGCGGGAGTAGCTCTGCTGCAGCTACCTACAGGAAGGCTGCACACACCTTGCAGGGGATGGGGGGAAGCCTTCGGGGGCCTCGGACGAGTGGAAACCGTTGGAGAGCCAATAGGGTTAGACATGTGGGTAGCTCATGTAAATACAATGTTATGAGCTTAAAATCAAAGGGATAGAAGAACGCTCAAAAATGGATAGGGTTCAAAGGGCTAATCAAAGCAAGGACAGAAGATGCATTAGTAAATACATCTGAATTGAGGAGAGACTTGCACTGTGTTAATCTCTGTGTCATGTTGAATAGTATAGTTGATTATGCGGAAGATAAGAAGATACAAATTTTTTATTTATTTTATAGGCAAGCTTCACCTGATTGTCAGCAGAACTTGAGGTAATGGAATTATAATAACAGAGCTCTTGTGAGGGTTTTGGAAAAGACACTGATCAAGTTTAGTAGTATGATAATGTCTAAGTATCTTTTTTCACTGTTTCAGTAATATACCTGATGCCATTAGACAGTTTGTAGATAAAATTCATACATTCATGGATATTAACATAGGATTAAATCACCAAGTGCATCCTGGGAGTTAAAGAACTTCTCAGGATGGTGACATATCACTTTTGTTTTGTTGCGCCAGTCTCCTCAAATCCAATCCTTCAATCAATGATATAAGCCCTGTTCTGGATGCTACACCATTGTTTAGTGCTGACATTGCAGAGTGTTAATGCTTTAAGCAGAGCAGCTTTGCTGTAATATCTTGCCCTCTGATATTCTGAAGATACTGATTAAGGATGCACCAAACACTCGTTGGACTGAGCTGACTATCTGTCCACTTTCGCTCATCCTCTAGATCTTCTGGTCTGGAGTGCTGGGTAATAGGTCGTGGTCTTGGTCTGTGTGATTCAGCCTACCAATGTTCTTTGCTAGTGATTAACTGCTCTTACTTCCTCTGCCATTTAAGGAACTTGTCATCGTTTTGTCTTTATCATTCAAACAGTCAAATTGCTTGAGGGAAAATGTCCAAATAGTTTGAATTCTCAGAAGAACGGATGGGACAATTGGGCGATACATGGTGTTACATAGTCAGTGCTTTATTTGTGTCTCATGTAGGACATAGAGAAGACGATGAGCACGGCCCTGCACGAGCTACGCGAGCTGGAGCGCCAGAACACAGCCAAGCAGGCCCCAGATGTGGTGCTGGACACGCTGGAGCCCATGAAGAATCCAGCAGGCTCAGAGCCGGGCAGCCCGCTGCACACTATCATGATCCGCGACCCGGACGCTGCCCTGCGGCGCAGCAGCAGCTCCAACACTGAGATGCTGAGCACCTTCAAGCCGGCGCTGTCAGCTCGGCTGGCTGGGGCCCAGCTGCGGCCGCCGCCCATGCGGCCCTCCAGACCCGCCCCAGCCCAGCACCGCTCCAGCAGCTCCAGCTCCTCTGGAGTGGGCAGCCCTGCCGTCACCCCCACCGAGAAGATCTTCCCTAACAACTCCTCGTCATCCGACAAGTCCGGCACCATGTAGCCCTGACAGCAGACTTCCCTGCGGTTCGAAGGAGATGTTAGACATTTGTGCGCTTTAGACTTTTGTTTGAATCTTTTTCTTTCTAGAATCTTCTAGACTGTTTACTTTGCAGCCTTGGTGATGGGCCATGTGGAAAAATTCAGAGGGAGTGTAAACATTTTTATCACTGCACTGCATCATGAGCTTAAGGGAAAACAAGAAACATGCCGTAGCCACAGAAATGTATTTGAACTTTTATTTCTAATTTTTACCTCAGAAAAAATGAACATTGAAAGACTTTAGAGTTAAATTTAAGTTGAACATCTCTTCCTGCTTGCCCAGCTTCTCTTTCAGAGACTGCAGAAGATGCAGGTATGAGAGGGGCCTGGCATTTCTGTCCTGCACTGGTCATCCTGACATTTGACAGTTCTTGCCTTCAAAGGGCTGGTCAGATTTTGAGAGATTACCTGGTATATCCTGTGTCTCCCAGACTGGATCTAACGTCTTCATCAGAATTTCTCTCAAAGGTTGTGATCTCCTCGACCAACAGCCTGTGGGTTGTATATAAGTACTTACTTGAAGTGGTATTCCTTTTGTTTGTAGTTCAAGGGATATTCATCAAAATAACAACATAGAGAACTTGTACAAGTATATGAGATGCAGAAACCTAAAACCAATATTCTACCTAATCGTAACATACCTGTGTATGACATGTAGTTTAATCTGTATATTAACTTGAGTAGACATTTTTTTGTATGTGTGACATTGTACAGTTTGAGACGGAACAGGCAAGACGATGGCAGAAGAGAATGGTGTTTATTTCTAAACAAAGCACACACAAAGGAAACTAAAATCTGTGTGCAAAAAGAGTGCACATTCAATTTTGTTTTTTTTTCTTGTTTGTTGCAAACAAAATTTCACTGAGATGTTGATGACAGTGATATTTTGAAAAGGTGTGTATTTGCAGTGAATTCCCACTCCAAATCATTAACATATTTATGATTCAACATAGTGCTAATGCCACATTTCATTTATAGGAGTTTACAAATATGATGTTTACATTGTTTTACATTCATGCACATTCCATTCTTTATTGCATTCCATATCTGTTCATATTTTGTGAATTATCACAGGACTTAATCTTCTCTGTTTGAAAATGGCTTTAGGGATCCAGTAATGACAGTACTTTGACAGTGACTGTACAGGTCTTGGGAACCTGGGGTAAGGATCTACTGAGGAGGCACCACTGCACATTCAAAGGATCTTTCACAAGCCAGACAATTATTGAATTCTATAACTTTTTCAGCACATATTTTCCAGAGATGCATCCATCCATTCAACTTCCAAATGTCAGAGTTGCAGGGGACTTGGAGCCTGACACAGGCAGCATGGAACTTAAGGCTGGGGTACCAGTATGTTTCCACAGATTATCTTTCAAATGCAGTTGTGTCCAGTCCACACTTCTTCCTGTCTAAGCAGATGGGTCTTACAACCCTGCCACAACAAAGCTAGATGCCCATTCCTGAGAATCCCACCCAAATCTCAGTGACCCCCAGGAGGCTGCTGGTTCTTTTTAAACTCTGTTACTACAGGGTGCTGGATACAGCGTCATTTGGAGTCACACAGCATTCAGGTCGGGCTCTAAAGACGCATCTGATGCTCCCTTTAATGTAGTTCCTTAACATTTAACATGTTTGTGTTCAGATCTGTATATTGTTACAGCCTCCAGGTGGGTGGATGTTTCTTTGGGTGTGTCATGGTGTTCCTGGTCTATCCAGTCTTACTGTGGTGTGGTTGATTATTTTTAAAGTCATACTGCAAATGAACCATTCAGCACAGAAACAAAAAATATTCAAAGCATAAAATATTCAAAGATGTGTCACATCTTAGACATAACATTAATCTTAATTATGTTCCATGACTTCTGATACCTTCAAAGCAGATAAGTTCCTGTCTGGTATGATCAGTTACTCGAGCCTTTCTGATACTTTCATGTATTTAGCTGGTTTTTCAAATGTTCTTTTTATCTACTGGTCAGTCTGAAATCTGTACCCAGCTGAAAGTGTTCATCCTGCTTTTTAAAGCTACGTTGCATTAACTTGTTTAACCACTGGGGGTTGCCTGTGTATCCAAAAGAAAATTAAATGGCTGAACAGAAAACTTTCCCTTGGTTTTGTGAAAAACATCAGTTGTCAAGTAACATATCTGCTACATTTTGTTTTGAAAGTTTGTAGACAGCAAATTTTAATATTTTCTGGACATCAGTACTTTTATGATGATAACATCATCACTCTAACCCCTCTCCCCCAGAAATACATTAGTCTGTTTAAAACTAAACATATAGTTTCATATTCTCATTTATTTCATTAAAACACACACAATACACAAAATCACACAACACTTTCCTGGTTATAATTGTTAGTTTCTTGTGTATTCTGTCGTATGAAAAATATGACTGGATGATGCTGAGATGCTTGCTGGAAATGACATGAAACTTGGAATGACAAGCTGTGAAGCACAGGCTTGGTGATTAAGACAGGAAACGAAAATGCACTCTCTTTGGTGTAGATGTTAACCACATACACTGAAACAAACCATCATCAAAAAGAGAAACATCCAACAGTATTTCCTTTGAATGGTTGAACTTTGAACTTGTTGAAGTCTTCTATAGCTCAATGTCTAATTTGTATGTTTTGGCTTAAGGTGGATTTGTAACATACAGCCATTTTGGCCCCACAGTGAAAGCAGAAAAACATAACACCTTAAATGAGTTTACTTCAGTCAGATTTAATGTCATATCTGGACAACCTCTTGCCTGTTCCAGTCTGATCTATAAATTGCTTGCATTGCTGCAAAAATTTACTGGAAAATACTGTCAAGATTTGTGTTTTTAATTCAAATGTGATGATGTCCCAGAATCTGACAGATTCTTGATGTCACTTTAAGTGGTTAAATGTCTCAGTGTAAGGAATATCTGGCAGTCCATCATTCCTTCTCCTCAGTCCTTCATCCAACGTGCTCTGTCCATGTTGCCGAAGTTATGTCTCTCAAACCCTTCCCCTCTCTGTCTCAGAATGCATCTCACTTTTGTCCATTTTGCGAGATGATTTGTGAACAAACCTCCAATCAGCAGGTGTCAAAAGAGTGAATAGCACAGCAGTTGCCTTGTTTGGTGCTGTTTTGCGGACCCTGTGGCATTGTGGCGGGCTGGCATCTTTTGAGGTAGCATGAGTCTGCATGTCTCTGCCCTTGTGTGTGGTGGGGAGGTCAGACGTGGCAGCATTGAGTGTTTATTCTGTACCTTCTTTCAAAACCCACTTGATGTGACAGTTTGACAGAGACTGTTTGTCGTGCCTTCTTGTTAACATGCACAATGTACGCCTTTGCCTTCAGTTTTGTGGGGTAAGGGAAACAGAGAATGCCTATAGAGACCTGGTGTGAACATTGTAGGTGTAACTTCTGGATTATTTCGGCTGAGAAGAGGGTAAGTGAAAGGTACAGAGAATATATACCATCAAGAGCCTCAGGAAGCAATACTTGTAATCCTGACAATATTTGGTTATAGTGCATATGCTGTTATGTAGATAGATCTGAGATCCAAAAATTAAATTCAGAGTGTTTGAAGCCTTCAGCCCTCCTTTGTAACACTGCATCTCAGATTAGTGTTTCATGTGGTCTCTCCTTTGTAACACTATATCTCGGATTAGTGTTTAAGGGTTTCCCCTATGTAACACTGTATCTCAGATTAACATTTGAATGGGTTTCTCCTTTGTAACACTATATCTCATATTAGCATTTGAAAGGGTTTCTCCTTTGTAACACTGTATCTCAGATTAACATTTGAAGGGGTTTCTCCTTTGTAACACTATATCTCATATTAGCATTTGAAAGAGTTTCTCCTTTGTAACACTGTATCTCAGATTAACATTTGAAGGGGTTTCTCCTTTGTAAGACAATATCTCAGATTAGCATTTGGAGTGGGGTTTTCCTATATAACACTGTACCTCAGATTAGCATTTGAAGGGGTTTTTCCTTTGTAAAACTATATCTCTGATTAGTGTTTGAAGGGTTTCTCTTTTGTAGCACTATATCACAGATTAGCTTTTGAAGGGGTTTCTCCTTTGTAACACTCTTTCTTGGATTAGCTTTTGAAGGGTTTTCTAAGGGCAGACTTCAGTGCCGTGTTTTTACTAGAACAAGGCCGATGAAATGGTCCTGCAGCAGTTCCTCTGGATGGTAGGAAACAGTATTGTGACTCATAGAAAGTCAAGGAATTTTAGGACATATTCCTCTATCTGTGTAAAGAAATAATATGTTTGAGCTTTTCCTTTCCATTGTAGCTGAGACGATAGTATGGAATATGACATCAACAATATGGCCACTGAAGGCATACGCTACATAACTGCCTCCCATTACTCCCAGTAAGTAAGTAAACTTTGCCAGTCATTCTGACTTGACAATACAATAGTTGAGAAGTGCCAGTAGTCAGTCAGTGATTGGTCAATGCAGTTCTGGTTTTAATTTTAGTGAACACACGGCACAGGAATCTTGCCATTCTATCATCTGGTATGCTGACCCCTAGCTAAGGATGAGAAGCCTGAGCAGGCAATATTAGAATTTGGTATGCAATTGCCCACCCTCTGGTGGCCAACTTTAGCATTGCTCCTCTCATAATGAGAAGTTTTTTTATTCTGTAGGTTACCATTCCTTGTAAAGCCATTAATTAGACAGATCTGTCGCATTTTCTCTTGAAGGATATGCACAATGAACAGTCCATTTGCTTTGATCAACAGCCTGTCATTTCAGATACTAAGCACTTTTTCTACAAGCTACAGTATAGAAAATTTAAGCCCATTTTCTTATGTTTCAAAATTCTTATAATGCTTATTTGAAGATCATACATATAATAAAAAGCACAGAGTTAATAAATTCTAAGCAAATGGCTTATTGACAGATATCAAAGATACTGTGTTGACATTTAATGTTACAGTAGTATTTTGATAATTTATTGCCTTTTAGATTTTTTTCCTAAGGGGTATTTTTAAAGTGCCTTTGGTGCACATCATCATTTTTTAACAGACGTGAATAATTGCTTTTTTAAACGATACTGTGTATGTTTGATCATACTTGATCTTTAGACATTTTTGTTGTTTCATACTGTAACCGAAATCAAACCCATACACTGTCATCAGAGGGAACCAAATGGCATTTAGGTTGTTGAAACGAAGGAGGTGACGTGATATGTATGACTTTGCATTTAGGCCATAAAAAAGTGGAAAAATATGAATGAAACCTGTTACACATCCACAGCTACTGGAAGAATTTCTATCAATACTGTAGATCTGATATACCTGACCTGTATCAACTTCCTTATATATAAATGTGAGGTGAAAAGCAAGACCTTGAGTTTTGAAATTAAACAGTCATGGTGGATGTATGTTCACTGGCTACAGGAAGCTCATTGCCAGCACCTTGAGTTCATTCAAACTTGAGTTTCACATTTCATGGCTTGATTTATGTTCATTTATGTTCTCTGTGGTCAGTTACTCCCTTCACCTATGATCTTGGCCATTTGATGTATAAAAAAAGTGCTCACACTTCCAATCTAACAAATCTCAGAGTTTACGCCAACTTTAGCTCCTTTAAAATAACCACTTCTGTCCAAGGCAACTGTGCATTGACCTCCCAGCAAGCAATGAAATGTTGTGATGTTTGACGTGTAATAAACTGAGAGTGTGGAATAAGAAAGTCATGTCTTGGTTATTTGTTACTTTTTTGTACACTGCAGTGAGGAAGCCATGGGCCCTAAGCTGCAGTCATCCATCCTGAATTTTGGACAATCAATTAATTAGTGTCTGAAATGTTGAACTCTGTAATGAAATGTACAACACGGCACTGACCAAATGTAGGGAAACAACAAGCTAGTATTCAGTAAATTCAGCAGAACTCCTCCTCACCAACACATGTTCAACAGATATTTCGAAACAATACACTGTGCTCTTTATACTTATTGATTATGATCAGTTACTGGCTGTTGAGTCAGTACAATGGTGGAAACACTTCAGTTCCATGCTAACACAGTGAGAACACACAGAGCTGGGGTACAAACCCAATCACATCCCTGAAGGTTTGAGGCTACTGTGATACAAACTGAGCTACTGTGATACCCACTGAGCTACTGTGACTCTCTACATGGGTTACCAAGCTTGATCTGAAAATAGAACAATTTTCAAAGGCAAAAAATAAACAGTGACTGCTGCTATCTAGTAAAACATTCCACTCATAAAAAGCAGGCTAATTCTTTTGCAACAATTGTGCATTTGCTTCCACATTTTAGTAGCAACCTATTCATAATTTAAATTAATTGTATTAATTTAGCAGGCGCTTTCGTCTAAAGCGACATACAAGTTAGACAGATTACAAGCATACAGCTGTCTAGGAGCCAATTTAGGTACAACTGCTGCTTGGCTGTGCTTCCAATGAGTGACCAGTAACAATTAACCACAAGTTAGCAATGGAGACCTTATATCAGAAAAGCTAGTCAAAATCAAATCAAAATGCTGTGAGGACTCAGTTCCTATTACACAACTGCAAAATAAAAGAGCATCTGGTATTGGAAATTGAGACCAAAGTAATGCAGCAATGGACAGACAGCATGTGAGGGTCAAGTAGATTAAATAGCTCTTGAGTTCATGAGGGAATCGGCTGACCTGATCGGCTGACTGGATGGGTAGCTTCTTCTAGAGTGACACTTCTTTCCACATGGTAAAGGAATCACCAGGTGATGCTGGATGAAGATGAAACATAGATCTTGATGTGTGATGCACTGTAGGTAGGTGCTGCTCCATGAAGCAAACACTAAAGAGCCAAAAGGGAGCTAACTAAAAGAGAATGAGGAATTGTAAACCATTTCTTATTATTGTAATGCTTCTTCAGTGCTTCTCTTAAAAGTGAGTCTCCCCTTCCTTGCATTTTCCTGCTGAGTTACATATAGTTACAGTAAAACTGTTGCTGTCGCACTCATTATGTCTTTTTTGATAATTACATGACAAATTTCTTTATGTTAAAGGTTTTGTGTGAAATCCTTTGAGTACAATAAATTGCTAGTGCATTGTACACTGTCTGCATAAAAATCTCTTGAGTTATTCTCTTATGCTTGGTGACCCATGTGCTGAGATAAAAATGAATGAGCCTGAATGGATGACTCTGGCCTTGAAACAATTTATGTTCTCTGTAAAATACAATCAACCACTCACTGGTCTTGCAGCATAAATCATTTTATTAGCTTTTCTCAGGAATGATTGGGTTTCCATGCCTTCAGAATGGTCAGACTTGCATTGTCATCAGCTTTGCATGAAGTGTTATGTGCAACTGAACAGGCAAAAGCTGACGCCTTATATTCGTAGTCAGACATCTTTGATTTTCCATGTACTTAGATGTACCAACAATTCTTTAACTTCTTTAAGTATAAATTTGCCTTCAATAACACAAGAGCAGCAGTGTTTTAGCATGCAGATTATGTATACTGTACTGAAGCAGATGGAGGGCTAAGCTGGAAGGAACCATGTTAGGCTGAAGAATGAGGCTTTCTTAGATAGGTCAGCAGAGGTGGACATTTCAGGTCCAGAAAGTAAAAATCCAAACCAGGATTTTGTTTCAACCAACCAGTTGAGTACTATATGGCTGTGAATCTTTATTCTCATCCGGTTGGTTGAAATGAAAACCTGGTCTGGATTTTTACTTTCTGGACCTGAAATGTCCACCTCTGTCTAGGTCAGCTTAATTGTGGGACCCCGAAGGCAGCTGACCGGTACTAGCCCTGCTATGCAGAGGGCGGCAGTGGCAGTTGCAGAAGCAAAAGCTCGGGTGTGTATGACAGGTGAAATTAATAAATATTAAATAAAAACAATAATTTTAAATATAAAATGATTTAATATATCAATAAAAATATTTGTGCTTGATAAATGCAATGAAAATTAAAATATTGTAATTGCATTAAAATATAAAATTAAATCATTAGCTGAACGCTATTTGCTTGAAATAAAACAAAAGTATTTTTAACTTTTATTGTAATCATGTTCCCTCACTTTTTGACTATTTTAAAATTATTTTCTTGCAATTCCCTTCGCCACCACTTTTATTTAGAGGCTCGACAGTTCGCTTAAATTACAGCCACCGAGAGTTTATGGTTGGATCTTATTTTAGTCAATTCTTAACGTATTTTAAATATTATTGATTTACAGCAGGTCTACATCACAATAATAAATTCATTTCACATTAATGTAATTGGCGTCATTACATTTCGACGATTTACATTGCTCCAGATTGCACGCTTGCATAAATATTATACTGCTGTTGGGAAAATAAATATTCCTTCAAATACCGGAACTAGAATGGCTATTTATAATTAATAAATAAATATTTATAATATTATTTATAAATATTTGAAATGATCGAACATTAGTTAAGAATTCCCTTGACTCAAACTGACTATGAGGTTCTTACATATCTACAAGGCTTTTTTACTTTGACCGTACAAATATGTCTGCCAACTGCGTCGAAAAATCGTGACGCAGATTTCCCTCGACAACGTGGTATTCTTTGTCGCAGTTTTATTACACAGCGACAAGTTTACTGCGGTGTCGTTCTTTTGTTTTTGTACCATATATTTAACATAATTTGTTGTTTGTTTGTTTGTTCATGTGGACTGGCGTGGTAATTAGGGGTCCCGTGACTCCGCATACATAAAAATGAATAAAGGGTGGCTGGAACTCGAAAGTGACCCAGGTGGGTAGTCAGTTAGCTAGCTGGCTAATATTCAATAATCATACATAGACTATATTCAAAATGTTATGGAACATTCTAGACTGTAATCGTTAAATAATGTCCAACTACAGAGAGATTTAATAATGTCATATAGGGAACTAGTTTAGCATTTAAAGTGTTGGGTCATTACCTTAGCTCCAATTGAAATCACAGGCTAGCGAGACTGCAAGCTAATCTTTACAGTGAGTTGTAAGGACGCTTAATAAATTGAACATTTTACATTTTTGGGTAAATGCTTGATTCTGTAACATCTGAGCGTGTATTCGTTACGTTACGTATCAGGAATTTACCAGGAGCTAATTGTAGTGTTATTGTGTATTCTTCCGGAGACATTGCTTATGTATTATTATGTATTATGTATTATTTTGTATCGCTGCAGTTATTAGGATAAACAGGCTACCAGGTTGTTGCATTAAATCGATTGTTGTTAATGTATTTGAGTAATTCCCTCTGTCACTTATGTGACAATTATGTGTAATGTGTTATTATTATTATTATTATTATTATTTATTTGTCTTGACTCAGGACTCTTCACGCTCCTGGTGGAGGATTTTGGTGAGTTAACCCACATGTTCCTATAAATAATGTGTGGCCGTTGTCTCCTGTTCAGCAATATTAAAACTAAATTGTCTCTTTAGGTGTGAAAGGTGTTCAGGTTGAGGAGATATATGATTTGCAGAGCAAATGCCAAAGGTATTTGCATCACTTGTTTTCTTATTGTATGCAGTTAGATGGTTTTGCCAGCAAACGCTATATGCTGACTTCTGACTTTCTTCAGCCCGGTGTATGGCTTCATCTTCCTCTTCAAATGGATAGAGGAACGCCGATCCAGAAGGAAGGTGTCCACACTGGTAGATGAGACCTCAGTTATTGATGAAGAAATTGTCAATGACATGTTCTTTGCTCACCAGGTATGTGTTTCAGTACATGGTACATAATATCATCCTCCATGATTCTGGTACAGCCAGACCCTGGGTTAAGAACTTCTGACTTATAAACAGACTGCCATACATATTACTATATTCAAAATTTTGGTTAAATACAATGGTTTTTGATGATGAATGCACATGCTCTTGAAAAGGTGTGGCTTCAGAAGTTTGTTGTGTACAGCCGAAGTTCAGTACCATTTGTATATTATTATTATTGTTATTATTATTGTTATGTGCTGATTCATTCTTTTTGGATTTACCTACAAATTCGACTTAAAGACAGACTGAGGGAACAGATTTTGTTTGTAACCTGGGACCTGCCTGTGTTCATGTTTGTCTCTTGGTGAACTTGATCTGGCTGTGAGTGGTTAGAAAGCATTGAAGAATGTTGCATATATTTTGTTTTCTTGTTTGTTTTTTTGTTTAAAACTGGGCAGTGTTGGCTTAATGGTTAGGGAAGCGCACTTGTAATTGAAAGATTGCAGGTTCGAATCCCCGACCAGCAAGGCACCACTGAGGTACCCTGAGCAGGGTAGCGCCCCCAAGCACTGCTTTCTGGGCGCTTAATTAGCTGCCCCCTGCTATGGCATGATGCCACATATGGGTTAAATGCAGAGGACACATTTCGTTTTTGTGCACTGTGTGCTGTGGTGTGTCAACAATGACCAGTGATCACTAAATAAAAATAAATAAATAAATAATTCAAAATATTTTCATTGTAAGCAAGTGTTAAATTTGAAGACTAACTACTACAAGTGTACTTCTCATGTGCAGCAGAAAATCCAAGTCTATGAAATGTATTACTGAGCTAAGCAGTTCATGATTTCCAGACCAGTTTCTGAAGTGTTCTGACATTCAGGGGGCTGTGCTGAGCTCTATCTCTGCCATGTTCAGCTCATCCCCAACTCCTGCGCCACCCACGCCCTGCTCAGTGTGCTCCTCAACTGCAATGGCGTGGAGCTGGGACCCACCCTCAGCCGGATGAAGGCATTCACCAAAGGCTTCAGTCCAGAGGTAAACCCCAGCCTGGGATGGGTCTACAGCAGGAGTATTCCACTGATGCATTGAAAGAAGCCCACATTGCTGCTTAATGAGATTAATGTGTCTTTGTTATTTTACATATCAATTCTTAGAAGTTGACCGTGGCATTTCTTAGCTTCTTACCAAGGGACCAACCATTTCCTAGCTGTAAACATATATTTACGCCTTTCAAGGGTTTAAAGGCAAAATAATTTATTCGTTGTGAAATTTCAGTGGGCCCTTTCCGAAATGAGCTCTGAGAGCAAAACAGGGAAAACCTAGTTTGGTGAAGAAAAACAGCTTCAGAGGCTGCCAATGAAAGTCTAGTGCTTTGTATAACAGTTTTTGCTTAGTTGTAATTTCCTGGATGGCATGGAGGTAGGCCCAAATGAGAAATAAGTGTTGAAAAACACCTGCTCATATGAACAAAAGCAGTTCATTCGGCTGGTATTTTGGGCCTGAATGTTCAGTATGCTGTATGGTCTCTTAACAGGCGTCTGTGCTGGTCCTAGTAGTCCTATTATTATTTAACACTTTCTCGACAGAAGAATTACAAAACTGCCATACTGTGGGATTCTGTGATTAGAATTTTCTCTCGTAAGGTAGAAATTTTACAATATTTAAATTTAAGATCTTAGGAAAGGTAATTGGGAGTGGACCCTGGACAGTCGTTATAATGTCTGGGATGCAAAGCTAACTTTCACTGGTGTCTAGTCACTGCAAAGCATAGGTTTTCTGATATGATAAAGTCATCATATTGTGCTGTTGCTGTTCTGCTCCTTTAAGAGTAAAGGATATGCAATCGGAAATGCTCCTGAACTTGCCAAAGCACACAACAGTCATGCCAGGTGAGCACTTTCGCCTCTGTCGACGCTCATTGTGTAGCTGAAGGCCATTTGGCTTCATTGCTTCCTCTTTGTTTTATATGCAAAATTCTGAGCAGGACCTTTTGCAGTTAAATTCTGGACTGTGTCGTTACATGGAAGCTGTACCTTCTGCTTTGTGCCCCTCGGGGCTTTGTCTTCCCTGGACTGATAATTAGTTCCGCTAACTGATTTTTATATGGTGACCATTTACAACTGTGAAAACAGCAATCCTCTGTATGCTTATTTTATGCTGAAGGAAACAGGCTTGTATACCAGAAATAAGCATTTGTCTTCTCTTCCCAAGTGGGATAATTTATTATCGTAATTAACGATCACAGCTTTTCATCTCGTCTGCTTGCTGCCTCCCAGACCCTGGGCTCAGTCATGTACGTGTGCGTTGCAGGCCCGAGCCCAGGCACCTGCCAGAGAAGCAGAATGGCATCAGCGCGGTCCGGACCATGGAGGCCTTCCACTTCGTCAGCTACGTTCCCGTCAAGGACCGTCTGTTTGAATTAGACGGCCTCAAGGCCTACCCCATTGACCACGGTACGGTGCCCGCTTCCTTCACTGAAGCTGTCTGCTCATTTATTGGGTTACTTGTTGTAGTTGTTTTAATATCATATTTATTTAGTGAATAACCTGTTTATACTGAACACCACCCTATAATTTAAACAGGCTTAATGTTTATAGATATTCATAACAATTCTGGAGCTGTTAATGTTGTGTGATTCTATATGCCCATGTCATATACAGCATTGGTGTTATTCAGATTTGAGCTCGTATTTGTTTTATGTCACTGAAATTGTATTTATTAAGTTGTAAATTATTATTGCTTTGAACTTACTGGTCTGTCCGTGCTGGTTGTAGACTGATTGCCAGGCTGCTTGTTTGCTTTGTCTGGTTCCCTCTCTCATGGATGCTAAACACATCATTTGCCAGCATTGCTGTGTTTTACTGTGTTCCATCTGGTTTTGGTCTCCTCCCCTTTTCTAGGTCCGTGGGCAGAAGACGAGGAGTGGACAGACAAAGCCCGCCGTGTCATCATGGAGCGGATAGGACTGGCTACAGCTGGGTGAGCCCTGCTGCTTTCACTGCCCCCTGCTGGCTGATATTCATCGCAGAATAATGTGCACTTAGCTTTTGGTGCTTTGTAATAGAAACATCCATGATAAAACTGTTCTGTTGTCATTGCAATCTTAGTGAGCCATACCATGATATCCGCTTCAACCTGATGGCTGTGGTTCCTGACCGGAGGATGAAATATGAGTCCAGACTGGAGATCCTGAAGAAGAACAGGCAGACGGTGCTGGAGGGCCTACAGCAGGTAGCTCGTGCTTCCGGCCGAATTAACACACATGCTAAAGCGTGCACTCATGGGTCAGGGGTCACCATGGCTCTGACCTTGTTGTGGGCCTACAGCAGGTAGCTCGTGCTTCCGGCCGAATTAACACACATGCTAAAGCGTGCACTCATGGGTCGGGGGTCACCATGGCTCTGACCTTGTTGTGGGCCTATAGCAGGTAGCTCAGGCACCTGACAGCCTTAACACACATGCTAAAGCGTGCACTCATGGGTCGGGGGTCACCATGGCTC